AAATATTACGTCGTTTTTGTTGATGATCACACGAGATATGCATGAATTTATCAACTGAAAAAGAAATCTGAATTCTTTGAGGTCTTTCTAAAATTCCAGAAAATGGTGAAAAAACAATTTTCTAAAAAAATTAAGATTTTTCAGTGTGATGAAGGTGGTGAGTTTATCCAAACAGACTTCATTAAGCATTTGGAAGATTGTGGCATTGTAAGACATATTTCATGTCCTAACACACCTGAACAAAATAGAGTTGCAGAGAGAAAACATAGGCATATTGTGGAGACTGGCTTAACTCTACTACTTCATGCTAATCTACCTTTGTTTCTTTGGGTTGAGGCTTTCCTCACTGCAGTATTTCTCATCAATAGACTGCCCTCCTTAGTCCTAAAGATGGTGACTCAATTTGTTAAGTTGTATGGGGAACAACCTGATTATAACAGCCTAAAAATATTTGGGTGTAGATGTTTCCCATATATCAAGGGTAACAACAAGTTCAATCCAAAGACCTACTCTTGTGTGTTCATAGGGTACAACAGCTTACACAAAGGATAGATGTTATCATCCCCCTACAAGGAGGGTTTACATATCCAGACATGTTGTGTTTGATGAAAACACATTACCCTATGCGTCTCCAAAGCAATCTCAGACTAACATTGATGTCTCACCTCAACTTGCTACTTTTGTTGAGTCTTTCTCTAAACTACAGGCACATGATAATTCTGATTCAGGGGAAGTACATGCTGCTAGTCCACACATTACTGGTGATAATGCTGCTATAACTCATATACTCCTTGATGATGAGAGTACTATTGACCTCTCAGGCGGCGCAGGATCAGATGCTGAGGAACAGGTTGAAGGTGATGCACCATATAGTAGTATTGAAACTCCAGCTGCAGATTTTGGATCTGCTAGTAGCAGTGAGGAACAAGTTACACTTACAGGTCCAGCCAATAGGCATCATCAAACAACTACTTTAGTTGATGTACCCGTTGACCATCAATCTGACAATGCTACACTCCAGTTAACTACTTTGGTTGATGTACCAGTTGAGGTACTTCCCGCACCACAAGGGCATCATATGATCACTAGATACAAGACGAAGGAACATCACTTGTCACTTGTTGCTCGCAACAACACATAAATTTTGAGAGAACCAAATACTACTAAGGAAGCACTAAGGTCACCTCATTGGCTTGCAGCAATGCAGGAAGAAATTGATGTTTTACATACTAACAAGACATGAATTTTGGTGCCCAAATTTCCTGGTATAAATTTGGTTGGCTTAAAATGGGTGTTCAAGACAAAGTTAAAAGTTGATGGGACAGTAGATAGATACAAGGCCAGACTTGTGGCAAGGGGATTCTCGCAGCTTGAAGGGATAGATTTTGAAGAAACATTTAGTCCTGTGGTTAAAGCCACAAATATTAGGGTGGTTCTATCCATTGCTATTACTTTAAAGTGGGAAGTTAGACAACTAGATGTCAAAAATGCCTTTCTCCATGGCTTCTTACAAGATGAGGTGTACATGAGTCAACCTCCTGATTTTATTGATCCCCAATATCCTCATCATGTGTGTCTACTTAAAAAGGCATTGTATGGTCTTAAACAAGCACCAAGAGCCTGGTTTGATAGGTTTAGCATGCATTTCTTACACCTTGGTTTCATTTGTAGTAAGGCTGACCCTTCCTTATTTACTTTGCAAACTGATCACAAAGGCAAAATATTTCTCTTGTTATATGTGGATGATATTATTGTCACAGGAAGTAATCCATCTCATGTCTTAGAGTTGGTTCTCCAACTTGGGAAGGAGTTTGCTATGAAAGATCTTGGCCATTTACACTTCTTTCTAGGAGTTGAGGTGAAGTATTTCGAAAGAGGAATTCACTTAAATCAAAGCAAGTATGCTGCTGAGTTGCTGGCCAAGACAGAGATGAGTTTGTCAAAGGTTGTAGCCACTCCTTTGGTGCAAAAACATGGTTTGCATGAAGCAGTAAGAAGTCTTGTAGATGCCTTATTGTACAGAATGATAGTAGGGAGCCTTCAGTATTTGACCCTTAGAAGACCTGATATCACTCATGCCATGAATTTAGCTAGCCAATTGATGCAAAGCCCAAACACTGAACACCTTCAACGGGTAAAAAAGATTCTCAGGTATATCAAAGGTACTCTACAATTTGGACTCAGAATTATTTCACAGTCACCATGTAGGCTGTATGGCTACTCAAATGCTGATTGGGGTAGTTGTACCACCACTAGGAGATCAACTACAGGCTATAGCATCTACCTAGGTGCAAATTGTATTTCTTGGACCTCCAAGAAACAGACCACAGTAGCCCGATCGAATGTTGAAGCTGAGTATAGAGCACTAGCCTCCACTGCTGCAGAAATGACTTGGATTGTGTATCTTCTTCATGACCTTGGAGTGTTCCTTCGATCTATTCCTACGTTGTATTAAGATAACATGAGTGCCTTGTACATGATGGTTAATCCAGTTATGCATGCTCGAACCAAACATGTTGAAATGGACTATCATTTTGTTCGTGAGAAAGTGGCTAGGGGACAACTTTTTACTCAGTTTGTGAAGTCTAAGGATCTGCTAGCTGATATTCATACCAAAGCCTTAACAAAACAGGTTTTCTCAGGTTTTCGCAGCAAGCTAGGAGTTACAGTTCCTTCACTCACTAGCTTGAGGGGAAGTGTTGAAGGAAGCTGATGGAACATGTCAAAGG